AAACACCCCTACAATCAGTGAAATTGAAAATGTATTTAAAGTTTTACCAACAAAGAAAAGCCCAGATCCTGATGGATTCACTGCTGAATTTTACAAGACATTTAGAGAACTACTGCCATTACTCTTCAAACTTTTCCATGATATTGAAAGGGAAGCAATACTTCCAAAGTCGTTCCTGGAAGCAAGTGTCAATTTGATACCCAAACCAGGGAAAGATACAACTAAAAAAGAGAACTACAGGCCAATCGCCTTAATGAATATAGATGCAAAAATCCTTAATAAGATACTAGCAAACAGAATACAGATGTTCATCAAGAAGATCATACATCCTGACCAACTTGGATTTATTCTAGGGATGCAAGGATGGTTCAACATACATAAGTCAATAAATGTAATACACTATATTGACAGAGTCAAGGACAAAAACCATATGATCCTCTTGATAGATGCAGAAAAAGCATTTGACAAAATTCAACACCCATTCATGATAAAAACCCTGCAAAAAATTGGAATAGGTGGTCTATATCTTAACTTAGTAAAAGCTATCTATGAAAGACCAAGAGCCAACATCATATTAAATGGCCAAAACCTGAAAATCTTTATGTTAAAATCAGGAACAAGACAAGGATGCCCACTATCACCACTCCTCTTCAATACAGTTCTGGAAAGATTAGCCACAGCAATTAGACAAGAGAAAGAAATTAAAGCAATAAAGATAGGAAGGGAAGAAGTTAAACTGTCATTATTTGCTGATGATATGATACTCTATATTGAAGGCCCAAAAAACTCTACCAAAAGACTTTTAGATTTAGTTGACACCTTTAGCAGAGTAGCTGGATACAAGGTCAACACCCCCAAATTAATAGTGCTCTTGTACACAAATAACAGACTCACTGAGAGAGAAATTAGGGAAACAATTTCTTTCACAATAGCATCCAAAAAAAAAAAAAAATGAAGTATCTAGCAATCAAACTAACAAAAGAAGCAAAAGACGTCTACACTGAAAACTATAGCACTCTGAAAAAAGACATTGAAGGAAATGTATCCTCTGCTCCTGGGTAGGAAGAATCAACATAGTGAAAATGGCCATACTACCCAAACTGCTATACAGATTCAATGCAATGACAATTGAAATTCCAACACAATATTTCACAGAACTAGAAAAAAAGAATACAAAAATTCATTTGGAACCAGAAGAGACCTAGAATAGCAAAAGCCAACCTGGGCAATAGAGACATGGTAGTGGGTATAACAATTCCCAATTTAAAACTATACTACAAAGCCACTGTGATAAAAACAGCATGATACTGGCAAAGAAACAGACCAGAGGATCAGTGGAACAGACTGGAAGACACAAAAATAACTCCAGATGTACTCAGCTACCTCATCTTTGACAAAGGAGCTGACCATCCCCACTGGAGGAAGGATGCCCTCTTTAATAAATGGTGTTGGAAAAACTGGATCTCAACCTGCCAAAGATTAAAACTGGGCCCTTATCTTTCACCAAGTGGATTAAAGATCTAAATATTAAAACAGAAACACTAAATTTTCTGGAAGATAAGTTAGGCAGAACTCTTGAAGATACTGGCATAGGAAAACACTTTATGAACAAATCCTCAGTAGCACGGGAACTAGCAGAAAGAATCAACAACTGGCATCTCATCTTATTAAAAAGCTTCTGCACTGCAAAAGAAACCATCAACAGAACTAAGAGACAATGTACAATGTGGGAAAAATTTTTTACCAGCTACTCTGCAGACAAAGGACTATTATCTAGAATATATAAAGAAGTCAAAACAATCAGCCCCCCCAAATATATAGACCCTATTAAAAAATGGGCATCTGAAATGAATAGACATTTCTCAGACAAAGAAGTAAAAGCAGTAAGTAAATATATTTAAAAATGTTCCACATCACTGGTCATTCAAGAGACGCAGATGAAAACAACACTGAGATTCCACCTCACTCCACAAAGAATGGCTGCTATCAAGAAATCAACCAATAACAAATGTTGGTGGGGTTGTGGGGAAAAAGGAACCCTTCTCCATTGTTGGTGAGAGTGCAGACTGGTGTAACCACTATGGAAATAAATATGGAGATGCCTCAAAGAGCTGGGACTAGAGGTTCCGTTTGACCCAGCCATCCCTCTGCTGGGTATCTTTCCAAAAGAATTAAAAGAATCATACCACACAGTGATATATGCACACCTATGTTTATAGCAGCACAGTTTGTAATAGCTAAAACTGGGAAACAGCCCATTTGCCAATCAGTTGAAAACTGGATAAATAAGATGTGGTTTTTCTATAAAATGGAATACTAGTCAGCCATAAAGAATGAGAAATTAGATTCATTCATAGGTAAATGGATACATATTGAGGATATACTCCTAAGTGAAATACATAAGTCACACATTTGTAAATACCGAATAGTTTCTCTGGTGTGAAAAACTACAGTAGTACATAAGATCCTAATGAGATAAGTGACAATATAAAATAGGAAGAAAAGGGCTAAAGGTGTCGGAAAAGCGGGAAGGGTAGGGGAAAGGTAATAATGGAAAGAAAAAAGTATGAGAAAATGAAAAAATGGAAATAAAATGTTTGTAAATGGGGAAGGAGGAGGGGGTAAAGGGAGGGCAGTGACAAGGAGAAAAAATGAGAACCAAGACCTGCCATGTAAAGGTACAGGATCCCAGTGATGAATGTAACTGTACTGTATACCTAAAATGTACCAAAAAACTCAATAAAAAATTAGTGAGGACTCTTCAAGATCTGGTTGCTGTTTATCCTCCAGATTTTTTTCTGCATTTTTCATCAGAGACCTCATAATCTACAACATGCTTCATTCAAATGATTTAATCTCCTTGGCATTCTCTTCACGTGAATCAAGCATCTCTCCTCTCCTTGTCTGGTGACTGTGTTTTTCCAAGTATGGCTGTGTAGTCACTTTTCCTGGGGAAGTGTAGAGTCTGGTGCACCACTGTCAGGAATGCACCTCGTGCTCCCCAACACCACGTGTGACTGCTGGCGTGGAGCTCATCAGCCGGCACCCCGACTTTCACTCGCTAGTCTCCTTTCAGTGACCTGTAACTCGTCTACGCTGGGCCCGGGACAATGCCATAGCCAAACCGCCTCACAGGTGACATCAGTTCAGCTCTTAAGGAAGGTTTGTGGGTGGGTGAACGAAGGAGTGGATCTAAGTCAACAAAATGCCATTCCAGATCAGCAAGAGAGCTTCCCAAATATACTACTATTCCTTCAAATGTTTGGAGATCTGTGATCACTGAGTGCATTTATTCTGTAATTTTCCTGTAGCCTTTTATCCACAGTATATTCCCAACATGGACTTATTTCCTTTGGGGAACAGAGTTTCATGTGACTAACTGGGCAAACTGCAACTTTTCAATGCCTCCCTAAAATTATAAAGGCACAGTACTTTCCTGAAGTTTTCTTTAAAGAGCAACCTTACTTAAAGCCGAATATCATATAATAATATTGAATTTAATATGATTTCTGTCACCCAAATTACTTTAGGGCCCTGATGGGAACAGGGATAAACAATTTGACAGAGTTTCTCCTTCTGATTCACCTCCATATTCTTACCTTACCTCAAAGATAATATTAGAAGACCTGTCAAGTTTTCTGTATCTCAGAGGGAATATACAAGTAAGAAATGACAGGAGGGGAGAAAACAGATCTCTATGCCTAAACAGGAGGAGAGTTTTACTGATTCAAGTCTAAAGGTTTTATACATCCAAAGGCTATCTTTCTTATTTTATTATCATTAGTCTTTTTCTGATAGGTGTCATAATTCCAGGTGCCCACATTAATTAGGACACAGAAACAGCTGTAGATGTATCTCCCTGTTCCCCTCTTACTTTAAAATTTGGAACTGACTTTCACAATTCCAAAAAACTGTAATCACTGATGTGTGGTTTACGGACCTCCATCACTGTAGCCCTTATAAATTCATAATGGAATACAGTATAAAATAAGTGCTCAAACAAATAATCAAATAAATGTCAATGGTTTTGTGTCTTCACCATGATGAGTTATTCACCCTTAGATGTGTGTAAATATTTCTTGGTTTTCTTCTTGATCTGACATAGGCCAGTTATAATGAAAATAGAAGGTGCTGAATATAGGGCTTGGGCTTTTAAAGACATGGGCTCAAATTCTCACAGGTGTAGGTCAGGTATTACTGACCCTGTTACACACATGGTGAACCTAAAATGGGCAGCATCCAAATACCTCCTCCAAAACTGCGCAAGAAGCCTGTGTGTTTAGGGTTTGCTATTCTGTGGACTCACCGTGCCAGGATATATCTAGCTAAGAAACTGTCCAGACCCAATGACCCAATCCGTAAATACACGTTTGTTTTTTTTTGTCTTTTGTTTTGTTTTTTTGGTTTTTTGAGATAGGGTCTCACTATGTAGTTGAGACTGACCTGGAACTCACTATGTAGCCCAGGCTGGTCTCAAAGTCATAGCGATCCTCCTGCCTCGGCCTCCCGAATGCTGGGATTACAAGCGTGCGCCACCAAGCCCGGCTACATGTATTTGTTAAAATCTACCTTTCTGTAGCCCTTGACTTGAGCCATTATCCTAAACCAGTAAGGTAGAAAGAAGTTATAATCATAGTTCTTTCACCATTTCCATAAAGGTGCTAAAAAGATAAATATATAAGAACATCCACCGTGAGGATGACCCAGAGGTAAGTGGAAAAGCAAACAGGAGCAGTTTAACTTTAACAGAAATCAGCCTCAGCACCTATGGAGAGCTTCCAGAAATGGTAAGCAAGAGCTACATGGTTTACTTAGCCACATGCGCGCGCGCGTGCACGTGCGCGCGCGCACACACACACACACACACACACACAAATGGTAACACTGATGATACAGTCATACTAAGACTCTGGAAACTTTGTTTCGTCTGCCAAGCTCCCCGCATCATTTACACGCCAGGATTTCTCTGCTGGCACACAGAGGGAGTGAAAGTGACTCACCGCAGCTGGATTCATCTTCATGAACGTGACAGTCGGCCACTCCGTCACACAGGAGGAGGGACGGGATGCACCGGCCCGCAGAGCACCGGAACTCCATGTTGCCACAGGGCGGAGGAGGAGGAGGAGTGGGGGGAGGAGAGGGCCTGAGGGAGCAGCCCACTTCATCAGAGCCATCTGCGCAATCCTGACGTCCGTCGCATTTCCCTGACGCGGGCACACACTGCGGTGTGTAGGCACAAGCAAACAGATCCGCTCCGCACAGAGAGGGCTGCACTGTGGAAGGACCTGCCAAAGAGAGAAGTCACGCCATGTTGGCATTAGGAGAGTTTCCTGTCGGCACAGTATTAAAATATCCCAGAACGTCCTCTGAACATTCACAAAGGAATAGAAAGCCTTGGCAATGTCTGCATACATTCAAAAAAAAATCTCAGAATACATCTATTCTTTCATAAACACAAAGCACTCCAGTTAGGAAATATGAATTCTGCAAAACATGCTCATACCATCAAAGAGTAGCCCTCACCTTAGTCGTCGAAGGCCATCACTGATGTGGAAACGATTATTTTCAAACTGAAGAAGGAATTTTTATTCTGCTGCCTTAAATTGCACTCCTCAGGCAGGCACAGAGATTAGTGCGTGGGGAAAGGTACGCTGATGATTTTAGAATCAAAAGTAATTATTACAAACCCAATGCCGTCTGTGAACGGCTTCCACCAGGGGAGTCTGCTGCCTGAGACTTGGGACCGGGTGAGACACAGAAGTTGAGGGCTGCTACAGGTTTTCCACATTGTGCTGCACTCTGAGTCCTTGGTTTCGACTCAAAGGCAGAATGTTATACGTAATGTAGTGCTAAACCGCAGCTTATTCTATTTATTATGTATTTTTGTGGTGCTGGGGATCGAACTCGGGACCTTGAGTTTGGGAGGCAGACGGCAGAAGCACTGAGCTAAAGCCCCGGCCCCTCAGCTTATTCTGAAATATTGTGTCGTGAGGAACATTAAGACAACACAGTTCCAACACAACCAGTTCATTTCACAAACGAGGTCTGCAAGAACACAAAGTTTCATTCAAAGATTCAAGGCTCCATTAATAAGCTCTTGTCACACAAACTCTTCTTTAGAAAAAGTTTGCGTCTCCATCAAGTCTAATAGGAAGCCAAGCACGGTGGCTGTTGACTAGGTGATATTTGGGGCGCTCAGAGAATGTGAGCGAGTGGAGAAAACTACACTAACCTGCCAGCATATTCCGACTCTCTGTACCGCCTCTGAAATGGCTATCGACTGAGTCGTGGGCGCACCGAAGGGAAAATGTGAGTTCCGTAGCAAGGGGGACACAGTCAGAAATAGTTTACTTTCTTTACAACTTAAAGTCACTCTTTCCAGCTTCTCAGGAGACAGAAGGGTCACTGGCCCCTTAAGATGCCATCTTAAAATAAAAAATGCACAGGGCTGAGGCATCGTCAGTGGGAGGTTCTGGATTCACTTCCTAGTACTGAAAAACAAAAACAAACTTAAAGTGCCTTCTTATTTATAGATTTTATAAGGATAGTTTATTTTATACATAGAGAAGGTGTAGTGAATTTATTTTTTAAAATGAGATTTGAAGGTTGCCTTCTCTCCCTATTCAACGAAAACCTAATACAGTATGATTCTAACATTAAAAAAAAAAAAAAGGGAGAGCTGGGCATGGTAGTATTTGCCGGTAATCCCAGCACTTGGGAGGCTGAGGCAGGAGGATAGCTGTGAGTTCAAGACCAACCTGGGCTACATAGTGAGTTCCAGGCCAGTCTCAACTCCATAGTGAGACCCTGTCTCCATAAAAAAGGAAGGTAATTTTCTTTATTCCATGACACAGTCCTTTATGCTTCCTAGCCTCTATTCTCAATGTTTTTTTGTGTCTTCATTTATAATTTTCCTTACAATAGAAATGCAAAATAACAACTCTCTCCTTCACTTGAAGGTGGCAATTACAATGAATATCAAAATCACTTTCATCTGAAAGTACTTGGAACTATCTGTTCCAGGCCCTCCTTTGCAAGGAAGCCAGGCTTCTTGGACATCCTACAACGACCTCACCTTGGGCTGCTGATGTTAACTCCTCAGGATCAGGGTGTCCTTCTCCCACCTGCTGGGGGCGGGTGATGAGAACTCACAGTTAAACCTAGTTCTAGTAATTGCTCTCCGAAGCTGCACACCCTACCAGGAGCAGCTGCCTTCATGTTTGGCGAATCGAAGCTAAGCGAGCTTGGGTGCTGTGTTTGCAAGGGCCACGCCTAAAAACGGCCAGCGGAGCTGCAGAGCGCCGTGCAGCACTGGCGGAAGCCCCTACCATACCCGCCTCGCAGCTCACCAAGGCCCACCCGGATACCACGTCCTTCCCTACTTTGCAGAGGAGGTTTCTGGGAGAGTTTCCAATAAACCTCTACACAGGAGTCGGCGTCAGAGTGGGCTTCCCAGGGAATCTGATCTAAAGTGCTATTCAACCATCAAAATATACCTTGTTTTAAAGTAAATCCCCTCTGAATTGCTTCTCCACTCTTTCCGTTGAAATATTTCGGACATAGGAGGAACATGGATTTTCGCTCCCAAGAGGAGTCTAGGTAGGTTCCTAGCTACAAGCAGTTTTCCTTTAGCTCAGTATTTCATTCTTGTTATATCCTACTGACAATTCTGTTTTACTGCACAGTGTAAATGGCTTCCTCCAGTATTCAAAGGTGTGCTTTTTTTCCTTTGAGGTGAATGCACTCTGCTGTTTGTATTTATTTGAGAAGAACTGATAGGTAAGAATATTTTCTAAAAATTGCAATTTTGATGGATTTTTTTTTTTTAACTTGAGGGCCACTTTTGGAGTTACCTAACTTTTAAAGGTAAAATCTCTCACTTTATAAAATGGGAAGAACATTAAATGTTCCTTGCAAAGCACAGTCTGAAAGATCTCAACCCTAACAAACTCATACCATTGAATGGCAGAAGACCATCCAACAAGGCTACATCATGTATGTTTTCCACTATGTGCCAATCGGGCCAAGGCAAGACTATGGGGACAGGACGAAGGTCAGTGGCTGCCAGGACATGGGTGGGGTAGGAGGAGGATGAAGAGGAAAGAAGAAGTGAAGTCCAGGCTTGTACAGTAGTAAAAGCCGCTCTCTGTGATACTAAAGCAGATACATTATCAGCCCTTTGTCACAAGCCAGAGAATTGTCAAACCAAGAGGAAACCCTCCTAGGAACGACGGAGCTTGGGTGATAACAATGTTAGAGTGGGTTCATCTTATTATCATCTGTAACAAATATGCTACATTCGGACAGGCCGTGTGCATGTGTGTGAGCATTATATAGAGGGATTCTATGTTTTCTGCATATACATATATAAAACAAACATATCACACATTATTTTAATATACTGATATTGGTACATATAAATACCAACATTGCTATTGAACTACACACACACACACACACACACACACACACACACACACACACAGCCCTACCTCCTGGCTTACTGACCTGTTCGGTGACTATTCAGACTTGTGATCGAGGTGCGATGTTTGGACTCACAATCTATCTTTGTTTTGTATGATCCTGTGTATTGTGTTTATACAGCCTCATTGTCTTTTATTCCCAAGGTACACCTTGTTTATGCAGTACTGTAATTTCTGCTTATTGGACTGTACAGCACAGTACTGTAGTTTTATGTTGTTATACATTACAGCACTGCATGGAAGAGGTATGCAAATGAAAGCAAAATTATTAATTGGAGTTTCCTTTGACCATTTCATTGTTCCAAATATTGTAATGTCCACACGATGTATGATTCCTCATTTAGCAACCAATTCACTTAACCACCTGGTCACAGGATGGAACTCGATTGTTAAGCGAGGAGAACACACACACACACACACACACACACACACACACACACACTCTTACTGATAATATACCTTAGAACCTATAGCAAGGCTACAATCTCAAGTTTGGTTCATTTCTCTTAGAATTTCTGATTTCTCCAAATCCCTTTTAAAACATCGAATCCAACATTTAGGATCTACAATACTTTGATAAACGTAGGAGCCGTGGCCAAACACATTGGTCCATTCGTCCACGTCCAGAGAGCTGCTCAGTCAGGTTATTTAAAAGCCATGACCCTGAGGTTCCCGGCCAGTGATGCCCAAAAGATACGGTGTCAGGTCAGTACCGACTATGCTAGCTTCTTTGCAAACGCATGCTGTTGTTCATTACATTACAAAGCTATTCTGAAGGAGGAATTTAACATTCTCAGTGCAAAACTGAAATTTACATCCAAAGGCAACCTGACATACAAGTCTGTGCAGACAGTGTCTCTTTTGCCCAAAGGAGTACAGTTAAAATCAAAAGGATGAAGGAACATAGTAAAGAAAGATGAGAGAGGCTCTCAGAAATGTTGGTGTGACAGAGAGGAGGAGGAAAAACATTCAAAAGATGTCAATTCATTCTGACATGATGTTAAGCATCTTAAGGGTGTCTGTCATTTGATTGGCTTTTTTTAAAGTCAGCATTTCTCAAGCTACATCTGATCAGGGTCTCATATAGTCACGATGCAGAGGACAAGAAGAAGAAAGAGATTCCCACACAGACTGAGCTTATTTGCTTTTGAGAAGAGCAGTAAAGCATATCTCACCTGTAGCTTGCAAGTGGCTTACTTTCTGTATATGCAGCTGGGATTCGAGGCTGTTTCAAAAACAAAGTTAACATCACTCCCCTATATCCCACCAAATATGCTTCCCTCAGTGAAGGTCATGGGTGTGCATTTATAACTATTATCTGGAAAGTGTGTACAAGGCATTGCTCTAGTATATAAAAACTTCATAATCAAATTATATCAAGTAAATACAATATCATCAGTACAATGGCACCTTTGACTGGTCTTTACCAAATTAAAACTCTGATTTCACAGAATCTGGATGCTCCAAGTTACAGTTGAGAAACTTTTTCCTCACTTTTAGAATATAAGATACTGGCATCTCAGTGCCCAACTGAGTTGATACCAGTAGGCCTCTGTTCAATAAATAGTTCTTATATTGACAGGGCTGGGGATTTAGCTCAGTGGTTCCACCGCCTGCCTGGCAAGTACAAGGGCCCAAGTTCAAACCCCGGGCCAAAACACACACACACACACACACACACACACGTTTAGTATACTGCTGAAAGGAAATCAATGGTTTAAATATTAATTATGCTTTTGTTAATAACTAATGTGGAATTAGATAAGCAAAATGGATAGGTTACAGAATGCATTGACTGATTA